GAAACAATTGCGTAGTGGTTCATTAACAACATTAAGTTCTGTTAACAACATGCATCCTGGCAAATTCGGCGACTTGATTCTGTTGCTGACAGGCACATTTTAAAACCATACAGGAAACAACTTAGAATGAGCACCTTTGATGCATCTATATCAATCAGTTGCTGTGTGAGTATGTTTGAAGTACCGATGCAATGCACTTTTATACTCTTGGTGAATGTCCAGACACCCATCCTAATCACTTCATTGCCAGGTTTTGCGACTGTTCTTATGTTGGGTTTCATTCTTCCAATGTCACATCAGAAATGGCAAGAACAGTTCGACCCTTGTGACATGTTGCATTATCCTGCTGATAAACACCATTCCGTGCTGGCAATACTGTTGTCATGAATGGATGAACCGGATCTGCAACGACATTCACGTAGTGCACAGATGTCGGGGATTGTTCTATGGGGATTATGGGTTCTAATGTGCTCCATGAAAGCATTGCCCACACCATAATACCCCTGCTACTGGCTTGTCTCTGTCCAACTATGCATTCAGGAGCTAGGGTTTTGCTTGGAAATTGGTGTAGTAGCATCCGCCCATTGATGTGATGGTCCAGAAAACGTGATTCGTTGGACCATGCAACTTTCATCCATTCTTCTAATGTTTCTTGGCTAATTGCAGATGCAGCTGGCAATGGTGGGCTGTCAGTACAGGACTATCTTTGGCCTCCGGCTGTGTAGGCCCATATGCAGCAATGCATGCTCCACCATTTGTTGAGAAACACTGGCTGTGTTGCCACAAATCACTGTTTATTAAATTCAGCTGCTTAATAAACTCAAATATGCTTGTAACAGAAGTGATTTTAATAACCTGTGGTTATTGTATTTTGATTCCATAAATCAAAATGTTGTGAAATGCATGGCATTAAAATTCCTAAGTGCAAAATAAGCAATATTATTAATTGGAAACTGCCCTTCATTATTACTTCTAACAAAGACTCTAAATGAACTAAATAAAAAAAGCATGCACTATTTCTAATGTTACTAAAGTTAAATCATTGGTAACAAAAGAAAATCTGCTGATACAGAAATAAGTCTCAGTCTTTAAATGCAATTGTAGTAACAATAAATTAAACAATAAACCAAGATTTACAACTTAAAAAAAAGCTAAAACACATAACATTCATCAGCTTTAGCTGGGGCATGTGGCTCAATGCAGAACAATGTGCAAAATTCTGTAGGAAAGCTATTTAGTAGGAGGTAACTGGAACTACATTATGACCCTTGATTATGCATGGGTATACCTAAATGACTACAACAAATAAAGGTGTATTTATTTTCAAAAAGGAAGAGAAAAAATGTACAAAGTTGGTTCCTTCAATGCAAAGAAAGTTTCAGTGAGGGGTTTAGCATTGTCGCAGGCTATCTTATAGTGGGAAATAAAAAACACAAAGAGTGGGAAAAATGTTAAAATCAACTCAACGTACTATCAAGAGAAATTTTTACATCCAATATTTACAGAAAGAATTCCATTTCTTTATCGCAATGATATTCGAAGAGTGAAATGTTGTTAAGACAAGGCAGTATGTCATACTTCAGAATGTACCACTACATCCCTTAGAAAAAAGTTATCAATACATGTAGTGCATATATACCTTTTGAATGTATTCCTGCATGTTTCTTGAAAAGACTTCTTTCTAAGCACAAACACACCATGATTGCAGGACTGGAAAATAGAGGAACAGGAGTGGAAATCTCTACTCCTGGAAATGAAATATTTTATGAAAAGCCCTTCTATCATGGAAATCATGATGCAGACTCAGAGTCCAGAAAAAGACTTCCAGATTGAACATGTAAAAAATGCTCTTTACATTCTAAACATTACTAGGTGGCTCTCATTCTAAATAAGTGTACCCTTTGTATATTTTAACTCTAATAAGTGGTAGGGGGAAATAAAGTTATTTCTTGTGTGTGTCTGTTTTAGAATTTAGATCTAGTGGTGAAAACTAATCTGGTGATTGAATCCATTCAAGATACCGAAATTGGTTTTAGAAGAGCAACTTTACTTTTAGCCTTGAGAAATGTAACTTTTAAATATATTACTCTTTTGAGGTTGTATAGCATAAATTACTGCAGCACATACTAGCTCTGAAGCATCAGAGAAACCATGAAGTGATACAGTTTTTTGTTGTAATGATCCATCTAAAAATTTCAATGATAGTTAGCTATTCAAACTTCTTTTAAAACAGCTTCCACTTCTCTGGGTTATTCCAATCCAACTTAAGTGACTGCAGCTGTTGTTAGAATTTTTTATAGATATGGTATATAAAGAAAGTAAATCAAGAGATTTAAATAGCTTTGCAGACTAAAATGAGAAACTACGTTTAGTTTTTTACTTTACTTGAAATAAAAATAAACGATGGAGCCCTAAAAGCTGAAGTGCTGATTAATGTGGAATGGCAGCCAAAGAAGATAGAACAATTTTGTTTCAGATATTTTAATAATCCGAACAGCTTACAAGATATATAAAATATAAACCAATCATAATTGGTATATTAATACATACTGAATGCACAAAGTAACATAGAGTGGCATAATGTAATTAAGATGCAATTAAAATTAACTGTTGATCTGCTGCAAGCTTCTTATGTAACTCAAGTTGCAAATTCAGAGAACTTTCTTAGCTGTTGCACAGTGCCCCTTTAAATGCGGAAGAACAGTAGCTTGGGGGAAATGTTTAAGTTGTCAAACAATCAGTATTGGCTGATAGCTCCAAAATATATGGCGTTTTTTCATCACTATTAGATTCCGTCAGAAAGGCCTAAGAATCGCAAGACCTCAGTCGACAATTCAAACCAACTTTATTTAGCGTTTAAAAAAGGAATTCACATCTCAAAGAAGGCTAAACATTAACAAAACCAAGCCAACACCAGACATCAGCAATGAAAAAAAATAAATAAATAAATAAATATAATAAATAAATAAAATAAAATAAAAAATAATAAAGTGAGAAGTAAAGTAAAACTTCAAGTTTTTATCTTCGCTTTATGGCAAACAAATATGCATATTGTGCAGCAAAGCTGAATGTTTCCACTCCCTGCGAAGAGGATTTCTACCTTAAATATGTTAACACAGCATTAATATTTAAGGAACTAAAGGCATAAAGGATAAAATGTGATGGTTTATTAATTTTACATATCATTTGAATTATCTAAAGAATCAGTTAATATAAAACAAGCTTTAGAGTCTGTGACTAGACCTTGAAGAGAAATCCTAAATAGTTAAAAAATAAGAATGAAATTATTTAAAGATTTGGACCATCCAGAAACTGGGTCCATACTTATTGTGTTCGTGCATGAGATGTGGAAAAGTATTTTATGAAGTATCTATTCTTAAACATTGTTGTAATAAAAATTTTTGGACCATTAAGCTTCAGAATACAGTGTGAACATTGTTGATCAAGTGGTGAGCCTTCTGTAAAAACCATGTTAAGGTTGTGGCTGTTCTGTAAATATTAGTGTCATAAATGATGAAAAATGGATCGTCTGCAATAATATTATTTGAAACAGATCATGGTCTAAGCATGATGAATCAGCATAAATGATATCAAAAGCTAAATAGGACCAGAAAAAGACCATGATGTCAATTTGGTGGGATTAGAGTGGTGGTGTATATTTTGAGCTGCTTCTAAACAACCACACAATGAACTCGAATGTTTACTGTCAACAACTTATGAAACTGGAGGAAGCAATTAAAGAGAAAAAGGCCAGAATTGGCAGAGGAATTGTGTTCCACCATGACAAAGCGAGGCCTCATTGATCTTTTTAATTTCATACATGTTGTATGAAATTATTGGGAGCTTAGTTGGGAAGTGATATCGCATCCACCATATAGCCCCAATCCTATGTTTTTAAAATGGAAAAAATTTCAGTAACAACATTGACCTCAAATTGCATTTGGTTGAGTTTTTTGGTGGTAAAGGCCAGAAATTTTATGATGATGAAATCATGAAGTTACCAGAAAGATGGCAGAGGTCTTCAAAGATAATGGAAGATATTTGACTGAGTGCAGTTCATTTTTTATATGGAAAAAATTAAGTTTTATTTCACACTAAAATACCAAAATTACTTTCTTGTCAACCCGATATTTGTATTACTTAGAGGTTATAAAAAGAGTATGAAAATTTGCATCACTCTTATCCGAATGAACTGGCAGTTTACTTAGTAGGAAGTTTGATTATTTTAGTATTGATGTTTCAGAAACAAATACTTAGCAGAAAAAAATGTGTAAAAGTGATTATTGGTGTTCGTGGAAGGTCATTTACTTTTTATTGATTGATTATCTCAACAATCAATTGTTCTTCCCTTAAAGGCATGTAAAGAATGAGACAAAACCTTTAAACTAATTATATACTATCAAATGTATGCAATTACTGCATAAGATATTCTATAAGAATATTATGAATTTTATCTTTTTTATGTTACTTATTTGCAGTTTTTTTGTTTTGTTTTGTGTGTCAGAAAAAATGTATTCTGTGTTATTTTTATTTATCAAACCAATGCATTTTTGATCTTATAATCTTATTCACTTGAAGGTATTTTCATAGTTTATTCTAACTTATTGTACCTTTAAAAATGCATGGAAGAGAAGCATTTTATTTTCAGATCAAACTTAGGTTGATGTTTGTTTTATTGAAAAATTATGCCTTAAGGATACAGCTACAGGCTCTTTTTCCTACAGAGAGTAAAAATATGCTGTCTGTTGGGTAAAATTTGCTTGCTTATTGAAGAACAAGGTTCCTGGCTGATTTGAAATTAATAATTTGTTGATGGCACCAGTGTAAATCTAGGATTAACTGTGCATAATTCTAAATTTAGTGCCATTGTCAGGAAATGAGATACATGAATAAATGATGACATTCAAAGAAATTGTAACTTACTCTTTATGTAATATTGAACTTCTCTTAAATAAAATGTTTTACATTTTTTCTCTCCTTTTTCCTCCCATTTTGAATAGGATGGAACAAAGTATTATTTAGTTAAATGGTTAAATTATACTTTGGACCAGAGTACTTGGGAACCTCTACCACATCTTATTGGATGTAAAGAATTGATCGAGTATTATGAAGCTATTAGAAGGTATAGGTTAATTTCATTTATAGTTGAAATTAAAATTATTTAATAGAAGGTTTATATATATATATATATATATATATATACTTACCTGCAATCTTTATTTTTCATTATTACTGAACTCTGTGATGTCTTGTTAAATGTTTGTTTATTATGTAAAGTTATTTGCTTTACAAATTGTAATATCATCTTAGAAAGCAGTTCCCATGTTGAAATTATATAGGAGGCTGTTGCTGTTGTTTGTTATGTTGTTCAGCTGTGGTGTGCTGTATAGTAAACCCTCGCAGAATGTAGGAGTTATGTTATTAATACTTTGCACATACGACAAAATCGCATTCCACAACGTTAACTTTCTGTGGAAGAAATGGGTTAGGTGTAGTTGAGATTAAGAAAGTGTGTATAATTTATATAAACCTAAATATTAGTGTAATTGAAAGAGGAAAAAAAAAAAAAAAATGCTAACTGGAAGGATTTCTATTACTGCTTAAAAAGTAGGTACATGCTATAATTATTTTTTTAAATAGCTGGTACCCTTTGCTTGGGACAATGTCTCATGCAACTCATTAAACGTTTCGTAGCAAGGAGTGCAAAATTTTTCGATACTTCTTATAAAATGTCCTCCTCTTATTTTGGGTTGATCTCCATTACAAAAATCAGATATTTCATGTGCCTTTTTTAACACTTCGTTAACTTGCATGTTGAAGGCTCATCTTCTTCACTATCGCTGCTTTCATTGTCTGTAAGTGTTATAAGATCATCCAATTCTTCATTTGTCATATCCCAATTATCATTCTCAACTAATTTGATTTCTCTTTCTTCAATATTTGAAAATCCCTTGTCTCCTATTTCTTTTACAATTTGTATGATTTCCTTTGCTTCATTTCCAATCGATGCAAGTTCTATAAAATTGTTGACAACCTCTGGCCAGAGCTGTTATCAGCAAGCATTTATTGTTGATCAATTCTCTTGCTCCCTTCTGAGTTTAGTCATTTCTATGCAGTATCGTATGTTGAATTGCTTCTAAAAAGTCATTAAAAGTGTGTTGTGCTTTCCTTCATTGGGGGCTTCATTTTCAGAGATGTAAATATTCCTGATATATTAGGCTTTGGATGTTTTTATGATTTCTTAATCCATTGGTTGAATGAAAAAATTAACATTCGGTGGAAAGAATAAAAACCTCTGCATTTGGATGCATTTTTGTGAGGACTTCAACTTTGCATCCTGGAGCATTATTGAAAATTAGAACATTAGAGCTCATGTTTTGCTGTTTTAAGCAATATTTGACACCTTTAATGAATAATTTTGAAACCAACCATTAAAGAGGCTGATAGCAAGACAGCCAACACTCTGTGGCATTAACGCATATAATTTGAATTCTCACATTGGAAAGTTAAATATAGACAATAAAGATGCATATATGCAAAATTGTGTTCCTAATGTCTGTGTTCAGCAGGGGTTTTCTGTACTTCATCTTTCTGTGTCTTGATTGATGAGTTTCTGTGATTTGAATAAATTAATGTGCCTCTGGCAGTAGTGTTTTAACTGTGTGATTACAATTTCTAGGAATAACCGATGGAATATTATTGTAATGCATTATTGTGCTGTTATACTGCTAGCCATAAATTAGTTGGGGCATTTCAATGATGAATAGTGAGCGAGTTAAAAACATCACCATTTATGTTATGTATCGAATTATATAGCAATTCAAGCAGTTTTTGAAATGTTACTGAAGTTTAAAACATTTCAAAAAATTGATTTTCAAACTCTTGTGATTTTAGTCTGATATCAATTAGTACCCCATTATTTTAGGCATTATTGTTCTAATGACTTCCAAATTCAGTAGTGTCATGTAATTGAGTTATGAAAACAATTTCTCTGCAACTCCTTGTCTAAAAAAAAAAAAAAAAATTGAAAGTGTTACATGAAAAGATCAAACTGAGTAATAAACTAGTCTATATAAATACTCCAAAGTTTCTTTAAGCGTAGAACTTGTGATAGGCAATATAAGGAGCAGATTGTGCAACAGTGTTTGTTTAAGCAATAGAATAAAAGAAACATTAAAAAACTTGTAATGCATTGTGAAAGACTGAAAATTAATTGGAATACTGTATGTACCTCTAAATGGGAACGTTTAGAATTGTTTTAAAATTTAACACCTGCATCAAAAAATGTTTTAGTTACTGTATATGGCTAGAGTTCTACAACCCAGTTTGTTCATAATTGTAGTAATGCCGCATTGTCAGACTAAAATTTTACAATGCCACCAAACAATTTTTGGGGGGGGGCATTATTGAATGTATTGAGAAATCAGCTGCATATAGCAATTTTGTAGTAGTTAATAAACAAGTTTATTAATAGTTTAATTTTGTTGAATTTGTTTCTGCTTTGAAATCATCATTATTGCTAGTGCAAAAAATGTTTTAGAGTAAATTCAAATGCCCACCTGCTTCATAGGTTCCTCTTTTCCCCTGTCTAAAAGCAAACAGCTATCTGTTGGCAAATTAATTTCTGATGAAAGTGCTTTGCTTTGTCTGGTAGCAAAAATCCTGATACAGTTTTACCTTGAAGTCTCTTTGCATTCAGCCATTTATAGGACACACTGTATAGTTGATCAAGCTTTGTTTGTTTGTTGATACTTTATAAAATCGCAGATTCAGATAGTAAATTGTTTAGCTTTTCTTTCTGCTTTCTGATATCGTAATGATCCAGTACCGTATTTCTCCATTATAATATTTCTGTTTTCATCTTTTTCTGATGAAAAAAAATAAGAGTAGAGTGTTCGAAATCTGGACTTTTAGGGACTTCGACAATGCCAGAGCACATCAAAATTTACCGAAAAAAGGAAAAAAAAGGGGGAGTTCAGTATTTCTTCGTTTCCTGTATTAAATATTTCTTTCAATATAAGTTTCTTGGGGACAGGGGCACTAATACTTTCTCTTTAATTCTATAGATAGACACAATTTCTTGTTTAGTTACAAAGTCCCCTTGTTTAAGTCCTGTAATTGTTGTTGGACAATTGCTTTGATATCTTGATATCTGTTCTTAAAGCAATCATGACCAGAAAATATCCATCTGACCCCCCCCCCCCCGCCGCCGAAAAAAAACCACTTGTAAGTAGATTCATTAATTTATATTCAGACTAACTGAAATATAAATTATGTAAGTAAGGAATAACACGATAAGGCATCATTCTTTTTCTTCTTTAAAAAATCAAAAAAATTTTTTTCCTCCTAGTGGTGGGCACCTATAATGGCATTGGCCATTAGTAAGGCCAGAAGTGATGACCATTTTATTGTGGAGGCACCTAATAGGCAGCCACTGCTACCTGCTATGAAGGGACAGACAATGCTCTCTCTTAGATTCGAACCTGTGCCTTTCGTTATCGCAGTCAGGCTTCCCTAACCACAATGCCTTCTGGGTGGTATAATATGTCTGGGTGGTTTTTTAATGTGTACTTAATGTAAAAAACTTCAGTTTTTATTTTATTATTATTTTTCTCATTTAAAATTATTGGAATTGATTACAGAATTTATTATGCATGTTCATTTTTTTCAAGAAACAGAAGTTTCTCTTTTAAAAGCAAACATAACTGCCTATTAGAGTGTATTTAAATATCATTAATAAGAATTCCAAATCTCTTACAGATCGTCTGTAGAAATTAGCAGGAAAATCCTGAAATTTTTTATGAATGAAGTTACTACACGCAAGCCCTGTGATATTTTGATTCTTACAAAACTGTGTGCATTAGTAGCTGATAGCCCTGAAACATTTGTAAGACGATTAAAGCTGTCTCCTTCGCAATTAAAAACTAAAGCAAAAGAGATTCTTTACATGCCAAACTGTGAACTGTGCCGAATGTCTAGTGCTTTGGTACAAATTATGTTATTGTATGAATGTAGGAAGGTTGTTTTAGTTAAGATTGCAGAATGGGAAACCAGTATTAATTCCCTTAATCCTACTGCATTTATAAAAGTTGAAAATGATGTTGATCTAGAAGAACCTCCAGTGGATTTTCAGTTTATCCATGATTACATATCTTTAAATGCTGACATCCATAGAGAGCCTCTTGCGTTTTGCTGCTGTGATAACTGCTATGATAATCGTCATTCCTGTTGTCCTAAAGATTCGGATGGACGTTTTGCTTACGATAGGTTTCGTCGATTAATGTTACTTCCAGGTTATCCTATCTATGAATGTAACAAATTGTGCAAGTGCCCTCCTACTTGTGTCAACCGGGTAGTTCAGCATGGTCAAAAGGTAAACAGTTTATAAAACTATTTAGATATAGGAGTCTTATTTTTATGCTAGATCTGTTTTATGTGCAATGTTTCTCTAAGTGTTTTTTTTTTTATTCTGTACATAGTGGAAATAGGAACATACTTTAATGTGAGATTTAAAGTATAAAGCGTTTAAAGCATATTATAATGATGCATGTATTTAAAAAAGCAGTAAGTAGTGTATTTAGTATTTTTTTGTTCTTTTTAATGGCATAAAAATTAATAAAAATAACTTAATATTTTTAATGACATATCACTGTATACAAAAATATCATTGGGTTTTGCAGTATTTTTATTTGGTTTTATACAGTGTTAAGCAGTTGATTATTTATTACTCTGTGTTTTAGATTGACACATTCCAATGTATTAAAAAAATTATTTAGACTCCAACAATAAAAATTTTCCTTGTAAATTACATAATTATTTGGCCCAAGGCCCAAGGCGATATTTTCCGGAGTACCTTTGCAACTTAATGCAATTACCTCCACAACTTCGTTAAGAAAACTGAAGTAATTAAGAAAAAGCACTGGCTAAAGGGTAATGAAGGAAACCATTAAGGGTTTACGGGGAAAGAAGTGAATTAGGAGTCCACACTATGGACGAAAAAATTCTTTCTGCTTTCAACCTATTTTACTAGATTGAAAGAGAGAGAGGTGATGATTAAAGGCGAATTCCTGAATGCATTGCATTAATGGAATCGGAAAGATTGGAAGACAATCAGCCGGGAAACATAATTTTCCAGGGCTTGGGAAAGGTATATTAGGTAATACGGAAAACCGCAGTAGTTGCTATGCCTTGGGGATGGGCTGGGGGGGGGAGAGAGTCTTGCGACTAAAGCTCGGAGTAAGGGATGGAGGAGCAGAGAGGGGGGAAGGGGATTCGAGAGGCGAAAAAGTTCTCCTACCGCCCGTGGCGAAGGAAGAATAGGAGCAACTTTTGGAGTGGAAAGAACCGTGAAGAAAGTTAACTGTAAAAAAGACGGAGAAGTTTTAAGAGAGTTAGAGGAAGGCAGGCGAGGAAAAGTGGTTTAAGTTGGATTAAAAAAGGGGAAAGAAATAAAAATAGGGACAGGATTAAACAATATTACCTGTTTGAAGATGATAACTGAAGATATGCAAGCTTGTACATTTGTATGCAGTTTGCTGGAATCAAAAATTCATATAATAAAAGTGTTTGGAGTAGCATATGGGGGAGTTAGATTTTAATGATTAGAATAATTATTTAGATTTTAATAGCAAAGTAGTTTAAGTTGTTTAATAAGATATTAAGAATCTTTAAAGGTATAATAATTTGGTGATCCTAAAAATGTATAATTACTTGTATATGAATAAAATTGAAATGTTTTATTTGCATTTTATTTTACATTATCCCTTTTCTTCATATTTCACCAGAGTGCTATTTTGTCTTCTGCTGTAATGCTCAAATACCAAAATCTTGATATGCAGTTTAATGCCGTGTCACTGCATAAAGCTAAATCCTGTTTTTAGTCTTACAACAAAAAATTAACTGAAAATAATTCACAAATTAATACTGTTACATGCACAATGCACTCGTGGACTGTAGTAATATTTAACACCTTTTTTCTCATTAATTTTACACAGTTCATGACCACTTGAAGCCATGAATTCTCTCAGACACTCTTAGAACACATTCTCATGTAGCAAAAACTCCAACGCTTAAAACGCATGAACAAACACAAGTATTGAGATGCGTGCGCAGTCTGAACATACTAGCGGCCTTCACATGATGTAGAGGTGTTTTTTGGAAGCATGCAAGATGAAAAATTTTCACCGCCTTCGCTGGGAATCGAACCTCAGACCTCTGGAATACTGGCCCAGCATGCAGACCACCACACCAAAAAGGCGGGAGAAATACCTTATATACTCCCTCTTTTAAAGGGCGGCTGGGGTTTTTAGGGGACCCAATCATCAAATCCTGGATGTGGAGAATCCTCCTCCAACACCCTTTTAGTTTGGGTGCCACTGTAGAGACATTAGGTATTTTGGAAGCAGGAAAGATGAAAAATTAACAACGCCTTCCCCGGGAATCGAACCACGGACTTCTGAAATACTGGTTCAGTGTGCTGACCACTACACCACGAAGGCATGCCAAGAAGGTGGGAGAAATATCTTATAATGTAATCATTCAAAATCGTAACCTTTATAATGCAAACTTTTACACAGTGTCACAATGTAAAATACAGGTAAATAATTGTAAACATCAACATAATAACATGAATATCTACTAAATGTCAACAACTATAATAAAGAAACAATAATTAATTACAAACATACATTTTTTTGTTTTAGTTTGGCTTAGGTGAGACACAAACTTTATTAATTGATCTCTTGAAAATACTGCTTTTTGTTTTCACTGAAACTATACTCACCCTATTGTCTTTACCTAGAAAAATCTCTATGATTCTGCCAAGAGGACAGTTACATGTGGGAATGTTATCAGTCTTTAAAATTACCATGGTTCCAATTTTTATATATATATTTTTTCTCAAGAACCGTTTAGTTCTTCCTTGCATTCTACTCAAGTAGTAATTTCTCCAGTACTTCCATAATGTTTGCATGATTTTAGTCAATTTTTGCCAGCTCTTTAATCTGTTATCAACATTTAAAATATTAGGTTCTGATATAGCAGTGATAGGACTGCCTATCAGGAAGTGGCCTGGTGTCAAAATATCAGTCCTCTGGTTCAGATGATAAAGATGAAAGGACCGAGAATTCAAGATCCCCTCAATTTGAGCAATTACTGTAAGAAATTCCTTATAGGTTAGTTTTAAGTTGCCAAGTAATTCCTCATAGGTTAGTTTTAAGTTGCCAAGTAATTCCTCATAGGTTAGTTTCAAGTTGCCTATACCCGTTTCAAATTAATCTTAAGAGACTTGCCACCTGCCTCCCAAAGACATCCATTATTGGGAGCACTTGGGGGATGAAAGATCAATTAATGCTCTATAAATAATTGCCTAATTAGTCCACTGGTTTGCTGACTAGTCTATTCAATTTATTTAATTCTGCATTACTGCCAAAAAATTGGTAGCATTATCTGAAAATATGCGTGCATTCTTGCCTCTCCTAAAAAAAAACGGTTTAAGGTTGCAATAAATGTTTGACAAGACAGGTCTGTCACCAGTTCGAAATGGCAAACCTTTGTAACAAAAGAAATGAAAATGCACACATGCACCGTGTTAAGGCGACCTTTTCTTTGTTGTGGTTATTTTATAAAATAAGGACCAAAAAAATTAACTCCGACACAATGGAACGGAAAATTCGGGCTAACTTTTTCTTGAGCGAGTTGACCCAGAAGTTGAGTGGGCACTGATTTTGTTTTGAAGCATATGACACACTCATGTACTATTTTTCTGCAAATGTTGCATCTGTTTAAGGGCCAGAAAGAGACAGTAATACTTGTGGGCCAATATGCATTTATTTTTTATGGAACATCACAATAATTAATTTAGTCAACTTATGATTTTTTGGAAAGATTATTGGCCATTTTCTATCAAAATTCAGTTTTCAGTTAGCTAATCTTCTTCCAACTCGTAAAATTCCATATTGGTCTAAAACTGGAAAAATATTTCTTACCTTACTATTTGGAGGTACCTTACCATCCTTTTGAAGGCTTGAGATTTCACTTTTAAATTCACTGTTTTGAATTATCTTAATCAGTTTAAGTTTGACAAATTGTAGTTCCAAGCACTGAAGAGGGTCAGAAACTTTTTCCTTTCCTTTGCAGTTGTTTACAAACCTAAAAATAAAACTTATAATGGGAATAATTTTAGTGTAGCTATTACTTAAATTTAAGAAATCCTCAATGAAATGGTTAGCTTTTACATTAAGAGAAATATTTTAGTTACTAAGGATTTTAAGTTTGTTTGGAAAGTCCTTCACAATGACTTCCACCGGAATATCTTTATTTTGATACTTGTTTTTCTCAGGCACAGCAGGCCTTTCCACCCCATATTATTTTGTAAAAGTTTGTTTGGGTCCAGACCTCGGGCTATAAGATCACTTGGATTCTCATTTGATGATACATATCATCACTGATAACCATTGGTCAACACTTGAATTGTTGTCACTCGATTTGCGACAAAGGTCTTCAACTGGTAACACTCCCTTTGGAAGTGTGATCATAGAGTCACTCCAGAGATACAGCTTGTTCACAGGACTTTCTAATGCTGATGTAACTCTATTAATCTTGCAAATAAGACTGCCGCAGACAGCTCCAATCTCGGAATAGTAACTCATTTCATAGGTAAGAGACTCTGGATTTACTAGTCACTAGCCTTGTCTTCACTTCTCCATCTCTCAAACAGGATTTGCAATATATGGCTGTTCCGTATGCTACCTCAGAGGCATCTGCAAGTCCCTGAAGTTTCACCTGGTCTACTTCTGCAATAAGAATAAGCCTTTTAACTTCTATTTATTATTTCTAATTCAGTAGAGAATTTCTTCCATTTATCAGCTTCCTTATTTGGCAGTGGTTCATCCCAATTTAACTTTAACAACCACAACTGTTGGAGGAATATTTTGGCTTTACTGTCGACAATATCTGTCATTTGGTAAAAACTATGTCATTATCAAGTTTAACTCCAAAACTGAAACAGTCTCTTCTAGGCTTACAGGATGCTCCAAGCATTGTAGATTCTTCTTCATTAGTAAAAGGATAGGCGTAGTTATCTTTCACAAGTTCAGCATGATTGCTGCACCATATGTGTAGTGTCATTCCTGCACTCTTTAGTATGACAGTTAACTGAGATTAAAGCTCCTTTGCTGTACTCGAAGATTCCGCTCCACTAAGCACATTGGCGATATAAAAATTTTTAAAGTAAGACTGGTGCAGCTAATGGAAATCTTGGACCTTCATTAATCAACAATTGCTCAAGAGTTCTCATAGCTAGGTATGGCACACTAACTGTATTGTAGATCACAGTACAGTAGAAGTCCAGAAATCTGCAATATAATGTTTGCATATAATGTTCTTCACATATTGCTGTTTCTTTATTTTTTGGAATGGCTATTTCAACATTCCAGAATCTCTTAAGAGTTTGATCTAAATCATTCTCCTCTTGAAGGATCCTACAGTGAACTCTGTTATCTTTTACCATTGATGTGCCACTGGAAACCAAAAACCCCAATACTGTGCTTTGAAGTATAAGATTTCAATCTTTTACTTGTAATTGCCCGGGCCGTAACAATTCATAAAATACTTCTGTGCCAGGAGCATATCTACTCGTTCTGGTATGTAAAATTTATTATCCGCTAACTTAACATTGTTAAACTCCTGAATACGAATGTCAATTTTCGTAGATGGAGTTATATCTGCAGTTATTTTCGGGAAGCTAAAATGTCTAGATTTCTTACGTAAGTTTTATCCAGATTGCTTACTGATGTGTTTACTCTGTGTTTCATTGTTAAAGATGCATCGTATAAACTTGATACAGTTACATTAGATTTTTCATTCCTTAATTGTAATAAATTCATAACCTCCATGATAAAAAGTTGTATTCAAAACCTCCATCAAGTATGCATCGTAATTTAACCTCATTTCCTGCCTGATTCTATAAATAACAAACTGAAGTGCTCAAATTGTATTTCTTTTTTTTTTTTTTTTTTTTTTTTTTTTTTGAATTATGAATATGAGCTGTACTGACTGCTTAGGTACGAATTTTTTTTTTTTTTTTGAATTATGAATACTGAGCTCTTAGGTACGAATTCTGTAGCTGCAGTCTTCAAGTCTGTGTTTATATTTTCATTTGACTGTTGCCCTTTTACCTCTACTAGTGCCTGAATTTTTTCTTTTGATCTGAAACACCATTATTGGTGCCATCAAAAAGACAAATTCTGCTTCGGGAAATGAAAGGTGTTATGATGGTGTTTTTTACAAAAACATGAAAGTTTTGAATTACAGTTAGACACAGAATGCAAATTATTCAAGGAATTAAAACACAATTTATTACGTTTGACTGTTTCAACTCAATCATTTGCTGTTAGTTCAAGTACTTTGGGCATTTTGCTAAGAAATTATTTTCCTTGCAAAGAACACATTTTAAGCCTTTTGCATTAGCAAAGAATACCTTTGAAACATTTTTCGATGTTTTATAATTGTTGTGAGATTTTTTTAAGTTCTTGACACTTTCGGTAAGGAATTTTCCGCGGGATGTGAAAAATAAATCTGCCTTCTTTGCCATTTGTTGAGGTGGAAACCAATTTTCAGCTTGCCTGATAGAAATAGGGGCTGACGTTTCATGGTCTCAAATAATTTGTCTGATATTATTAACTGCTTCAATGTTTTGAAATTGAACACTTTCATGAATTTTAAGTAATGTTGCAAATTTGTCATTAATCGCGACATGAACTGCACATGGGACTCATTTAGCCAATGACACTTTTTAAGTTCTCTTATTTGTGGTGTAGGTTTGAATTCTTTTAGAATAATACCTTTTTTTTCATAGTCACTTATATCGTCATCTCTTATATACACAATATTTGAAACCCGTTCCTCTAACAAGTTTAACAATATTTCTGCTTTAAATTTCTCAGGCACATTTTTTGTTGTGATAACTCTTTCTAAAGAAGAGAAAAAATAACTCCAGTTTTTAGGTTTACTTGGAACCTTCAACGTTAGAGTTCTTATACATTTGATAAGGACTCGTAATTTTCTTCTTTTGTTTCATTTTGACCATTACTATCAGTTTTGCTTCTAACTCATGATCGAGCAATTTCCAATTCTGCGTTACATCTTTGCTATTTAATTTGTTTTAATTGTAATATCTTAGCTTCTTCAGACCTATGATCCTCTACTGTCGAATTACCCAACTCTATGACTGAATCTGCATCGGATTTAAAATCTTTGCTACTTTTAATCGCTAGCTTTAAATTAGCAAGTTATTTTTTCACTTAATTCTATATTTAGTTCTAAAGCTAGTAGCGTTAAATCTTCTTTTAGTGCTTTTTTTTTTATTAACATTATACTCTTAATAAAATAACAAGATAATAAGTAATTGTTCTCAAAAAATTTTTAACACAGTACATAAATACTATAAATTTTTCCTCAAACTGTTATATAGTATCTCAGTAATAAAATGGCACTTTATTTTGATATTGAAACTGCTGACTTGCTCATTACTTGTTGATGACTCTTAATCCATACATCTCTGGTCTCGACGGAGAAGAAATGTTACACACATAATGCACTTGTGGACTGTAGTAATATTTAACACCTTTATTCTCATTAATCTTACACAGTTCATGTCCACTTTCAGCTATGAATTCTCTGAGACTTTTAGCACACATTTTCACGTAACAAAAATTCCAGAGCTCAAGACTCATGCGCAGATGCAAGTATTGAGATGTGTGCTCAATCTGAACAAATACCTCTGTGCTGACTCACTCATTACTTGCTGATGACTCTTAATCCATAGATCTCTGGTCCCGACGGAGAAGAAATGTTACACACACAATTCACTCGTGGTCTGTAGTAATATTTAACACCTTTATTCTCATTAATTTTACACAGTTCATGACCACTCACAGCCATACATTCTCTGAGTCTTTTAGCACACATTTTCATGTAACAAAATTTCCAGAGCTCAAGACTCGTGCGCAGACGCAAGTATTGAGATGTGTGTGCAGTCTGAACAAATACCTCTGTTTCAAGATAATCTGAAGTGTACTTTCATAGACTAGTGATATAAAAAGAAATATTTTATGCAGTTATTTTCTTCTAGGTGAAAGTTGCTATTTTTAGGACTTCAAATGGCTGTGGCTGGGGTCTAAAAAGTCTTGAACCTATTCCAAAAGATCAGTTTGTTCTGGAGTACTTAGGTGAAGTAAGTAGTTCTTACTTTGAATTTTATTTCTTTGAGATTTTGCTGTTTTCGTGTCTTTTCTAATTTGAACTTAGTTCAAGTAACAACCTGAAACATTTTCAAGATTTCCATGCTTTGACTTTCTGTGGGCAAGAAAGAGGTTCTGCTTAATTTAATTATACACTCAATGATTCAACTTGTTAAGAGAACTGATTTTTCTGTAAATAGTGCTTAGCATTTTTTAAGTTGATTATTTCTCATAGCTCTTTCTTAATAGATCTTGCAGTTGTTTCTTTGATATTGCACACACAGTGTTCTCTAATGTTAAAGGGATATTATGCGTTTCATATTTTCCATATGTTCCTGGTTAGATATTTTTAGTTGTTTAGTTAAGAGCATTTTTGAATTCCACATTTTGGAGATGTATCCAGAAAAAGTATCAAAGCATATGTCATATTCTTGTGGCAGTAATGTAAAAAACCAAAAATTCATGTAATCGTGGATCTGAGGTTGTGTGAATTTTGAGTTTAACAAATTTCTAGGTATAAATAAATAAATATTAGATTTGGACTAACAAAAGAAGAATAAATAAATTTAAAAAAATACATAAGTGCAGTTTCTCTTACTTTTAAAGAAGACTATATAGCAAATATATTATAATTGTATATAAAAAAGCAAAAAATATCCTTGTGTTTTGTGTTTCAAATATGTGTTTATATTTGAGTACATGTGGGTTTTACCAACAGCCAAAGTACCAAGAAAATAAAAAAAAAAATGTTGCCAAATTTAGGTGATATACCAAGAAAAAAAGGGCATCGTTTCAATAATGGGATTTTAATGTAAATATATATATGTACATAAGAACTAAATTCTAAAAGTATGAATTCTTTCTTAATTGTAATTTATTTTTCAGGTGGCCATAAATTGGCTGTCACCGCTGTCAGGAATGTGGTTTTTGAAACATTGAACTATTTGCTAAGGCAGAGGCCTTTCTTTTTCTGCAATGTCATTGCATTGCATCTCTGCATAGCTTCTACAGTGATATATATACTGGGTATTTCAGAACTCCTTGTACAGACTTGAAGGGGAGGTCGAAAACATCAAAAAGAATTAAAATCACTTAGAAAAGCAGGGTCCCTGATGCCACTGTTACGTGATAAAGAGATGTAAAGACAAAGCAAGAACACAATGCAGAAAGCAGTATTAAGCACTTTATTAGACAATAAAAAAATAGCACAATAGTTAAAAGCATTACAAGAGGTGTTCGAAATTCCACCCATCGGCATTAATGCATGATTGACACCTACGTTGCATGGATTGAATAACATGTTCACGTTTGTGGATCAAAGCAGCAGCAACGACGATTCTTGCAACAAGGTCCATTTAAGAATCCACTGCTATTTCATAGAAAGTAGCCTTCATGGCTCCCCAAAAATAAAAATCAACAGACTATAAGTCAGGTGATTATAGGGGCCATGCGACAGGACCACCATGCACAATCCTTTTACCTCCAAATGTCCTGTCCAGATGGTCACGTACAGAAATTCTGTAATGAAAAGAAGCCCCATTGTGTAAAAACAAAATTCAGCATGTAATCTGTGCAGGAATATCAGTCAGTAGTTCCAGAAAAAGTGAGATATTTGTGAGCATTCATTTGAAGTGATCACATATATGGGCCTACCAAACAGTCAACCATGATTTATGCTCACACACATTAACAGCCAAGTGCTGTTGTGTGGCACCTGGTCTGGATCCTTGTAGGTATTGAATCCCCCCTCGTGTGTAAAGAATGCTTCATCAATGAATCAAACAGAACATGGGACGTGCCGTTCAGGCACACATTTTATAGAAACCACTATGAAAGTGCAACACATCGGAGATATCTGCCTGCAGTGCTTGGACTGTGTGAAGGTGAAAACAATGTAAGCCTTCACTGTGCAGAAGGTACCACATGGTTGATGTGGATGCAGTTGTTGCAGTGGCAAGCACATGTGTATACTTGTGGCAGGATTTCGGTCCACAGCATTCAACAAGACCCTCTTCGAAGTTGGTTATTCATGTTGGTCACACCTGCACAGTGTCGTGCATCGGAAGTGTAAAGGATACATATTTTCATTGGAAATCAACTGTACAGCAGCTCAAACATTTCCATTAGCTATGCCATAAACGGAATGACTATCAGCTAACTCAGTATTAGTAAAACGATGCATGCACACCTCACTCTGTCACTGGCTGCAATGAGAAAAACCACACATCCTAACCTCAAGAGCTCACTTACAGCACCACCTGTGTATTACTTGTAGGGACCCTGCTTTCCTGTGTGATTCTGATACCTATCAGTGTTTTCTAACCCCCTCCAAGCTTGCACCTGGAGTCCTGAAACATGTATACATATTCTTGTTAGCAGTAATGTAAAAAAACCACCGAAGAGCCATTATATTATGACCACCCTCCATCTATAACAAGCAGCTGGAGTATGTAAAGCGGAGTATGTTGGAGTATGTAAAGCGGCTATGCATTTTCTTTCGCTATATAGCAAGTTTTGCAACACAATGGGAAAAGCAGCTGATTTATCAAACTTCAATAAAGGTCAAAATGTTATGGCTTGGCAATTGGGAACATCAATATCAGAAACGACCTGTTTAGTGGACTATTCACATGCAGTTGTTGTAAGGACATATTGAAAATGATGTATGGATGGTGAAATGACAAGGTCGCCGACCAGCAGTGTGTTGTCGCTGGTGCATTAATTCCAGAGGAGAACGGAGATTTGCTATGCATTGTTCGTCGTGACCGAAGAGCTACAACAGCTGAAATCACCACCAGCTACAATAGTGGCGACTCAGTGTTTCTCAACACACTGTGCAGTGAACATTGCTGGGTATGAGCCTATGCAGCTGGAGGACGAAGCATGTCCCTGCACTGATAGCATGTCATCGCCAGCTGCGTCTACAGTGGGCCAAGAAACATCGGAATTGGATATTAGAAGAATGGAAGAAAGTTGCATGGTCCAACGAATGACATTTTCTGCTCCAACACATCGATGGACGTGTGATAATACGCTGATTTCCAAACGAAACCCTGGCTCCCGAATGCACAGTTGGACGGAGACAAGCCGGTGGTGGGGTATTATGGTATGGGCAATGTTTTCATGGAGCACATTAGGACCTATAATCCCCATAGAGCAATCCCTGACATCTGTGCACTATATGAACATAATTGCAGACCAGGTTGACCCATTCATGGCAACAGTATTTCCAGTAGGAGATGGTGTTTACCAAAAAGGATAATGCATCATGTCATAAGGGTCGAACTGCCAGGGAGTAGTTTGAGGAACACTCCAGTAATTCCAAGATTAATTTAAAACTATACACATTTTACCCCAACAAAATAAAGTTCAAATGAGAGAGAAATAAGTATGCATTGCTTAGGGTTGCGAAGTGTAGAACAGGAAAAAGTCCATTGTAAATTAACTTGCAACAGTTTGGCTGGATTTGAGATTGGAAGGGGGTGCATTTTCACAAATTTTCTTTCAATGTGGCAAGACAGTAAATAGAACAGAAGACCTAATTGCAAGAATTGCATACTTAAGATAGAGTAAAATTGAATTTTAGAATTAATTCTGGCTGAAAGTTAACTCAAGGTAAAAAATTTTACAGTAAAAAAAAGGGGGGGACAACTAGAATATTTACTGAACGTTTTTTTAATCAATTTAATTACAAAATATACAAATCTTTAAATCTTGCAGACTTCCTTTCTTGTCCTTCCATGGGTCTAAGACGAGCTTATTATGACCTGTTAGTCTAAAGATTAGATAAGATATTTAACAGCAGCTTTATTAAGGATAATAGTTAATAAAATTAGTGAGTATGCTATTTTTTTGCCGTACTTGTGTAAGTACAACTTGTTCATTTTCTTTTAGGTTCATCATTCGTCTTTTAGGCCATCAACTTCTGTGCATATTCTTTTAAATTTATTAATTTGGTTGAGTATTGCATTATTGATAGCTTTTCTAGAGATATTGGACTTCCAGTTGATGAGTTTAATTGTAGCAAAATTAAAGATTCTTCTTTTGTCAAGAAGCTTAATTTTCTTATAATTAATTATATGAAGATCAAGATGTTCTATTTCTTGTTAATTTTTAATGGTTTTTATTAATTTTTAAGTAAGAAGGATATATTTGAAATTTTTCTATTGCATCAAAATTATTAAATGTAATTCGGTATACCTGTGTTTGCTAAAAGATTTAAATTTGTTTGGTCAAGAGATTGTTGAAACTTAATTGAGTAAATAAGTAAAGGGCAGAAATTGTGTCAAGAAGTTTTTGCTCATAGGAATTCCATTTACTTGTTTAAAAATGGTGTTATTTAATTTAATATAGTTGTTGAACAATGTGCATTTCAGGTAAGTAATCCATTTATGTATTGTAATTATTGTAAGCCTTTCTAGGAACAAGTTTGGAAGTTGTGAATGATTGTTGTGACTTTCTTGTAAGGGTAATGCAGTATACAAATTCTCAAAGTCATAACAGTTAATTTGTAGCTCTTTAGTTGTAGAAATGATTGTTAATCTATTATTAACCCTTTCCAGATTGGCATCCTAAACACACATTCCCTATGTATGTCTCTTGTTGGGCGTCCCACCCAAGCATCACCGGAAATTGTGCTCATGGGACGGGTGATGCATATTATGTACACTTTGTGCTGAACTTTTTTTTAAAGATCACTAGATGGCATTTTGTGTCCTTTACTTTTGAACTGAACACAGTTTTAAGAGTCTGACCTTCAGATTGATCCCATTCTGCTTAACTTTGGTTTTGGTTATTGTGGAGGAGATAAGGAAACTAATGTAAACAAGCATAGCTTGTCTCTTTGACTCGGCACATGATATAAACATTCCTGTTTCTGATGTCCCTTCAAATCTTTTTCGTATTATTTTTTCACTAGTACGTAGGTTTATTATGTGGGGTTCTGTTACTCTTTGCATTGCTTTTATTGCTTAGATCACATACTTCATTTCAGAAATCCTTGACTTCAATTTATTATGGTGACCAAGCACAATTTATCAAAGCAAGGACATACTAGTATGGCAAATGAGCCAATTGGTGACGTGGATGAGGGTGATGATTCATCTTCTAAAGAGTTTGGTATTTCACTGATTCTGATATGGACATTTTGTATGAGAGTGAGCTCACTGAGTGCCTGCCTTCCTGATTCTGAACTGAAAGATTCTTTTACTTTTTCTTGTAAATAGTCTTTCTTGTGTTTTTTGTATTTTAAGTTTATGAATGTATTTTGTCAATTAAAACTTAGGAATAATTTGAATGGCACTTCTGAAAATTATTTCTCAAGGTAAGCAATTTTTCTTTTGCATTTTCGTGTAAAGTAAAGGAAAAAGATTATTAAATGCTAATTTTGGTGCATATGATATAGCATAAGTAATAATCTAAAGTGATACCACAACCTTTATTTTTTGCATGAATATTTTCCATTTGCTGTGATGTTATATTTAAACAGTGTAAAAATTGCTTAATTTTGATGAAAGTTACTAAATGTTTCATGCAGTAAAGCTGTGAAATTATCATTTCTTTGCTTGTAGGTATTGTATATTCCTACTCATTCATTCCATCCATTTTATGTTGTTTCGGAGGATTCTGTTTGATGAATATTTGTGCATCAAGTTATTTTTTATAAATGAAGTTGGATTAATGCATGAAATTTGCACTGAAGCAGAATCATTTGAATGAACAAGTAGATATAACACCATATCTATAGAAATCCATATACAGCCTGTATTTTTGCAGCTGTTAGTTGTAGACACGTATTTCTAGTTACAAAAGTGTTTTAAATGACTCGAATGTTCATGTTTTTGCATTTTTAAGTTTTAAAAAATCAATTTTGTAAAAGTTATGAAACCTAATTTTTATTCCTACTTCCTATACTTAAAAAAAAAAAAAAATTTACTCATTATATATAAAAAAAAAAAAAAAAAAAAAAAAAAAAAAATAAGAAGAAGAAAATAAATAAATAAATAAACACATGATGATGCTTATGACTCCTATAGGACAAAATTTGACTGAGATATTTCATTTTAAATTTGGAGATTATATTCCGAGGCCGTCTACAAATTAAAGACTAAAATGTTTACATGTGTTAGTTACTAAAAAATAAAATATGAGTTTGAAAAAGGTTTCTGATGTTAATAGATTAAGTAAAGAGAATTTCTGTATTGATTGCCATGAAAAATATTGATCAATATATATATATATATATATATATAAACAGTACAAAGTCTTTAATCCAGACGTCCATAATCCAGACCTCAAAGCTACAAACTTTCTGCGTAAACGCATAATATGTTTACTCATGCACATTTCATGTATAACGGACAACACAGTCAGAAGTCGTTAATCCGGACTCGTCGGGACTTCGGCGATTCCGGATTATCGATTTTTCCGGATTGTAGATCATCAGTTTAAATCTGGTAAGATGGCATGCAGAAATTACAAAATTAAAAATATGAAACCGTAATTTATGAAATAAAGAACAATTATGATCTAAAGGGTATCAAAATTTACAAAAAAGCTTAATATTTATTTGTTTACTTTATTAAATATTTCTTTCAATGTAAGTTGTTTGCTTCGTTTTCTGTGATAATACTTTTTCTTTAATTCTATAAACAGACATAATATTTCTTGTTCAGTTAGAGTTCTGCTGTTCAAGTCCTATAATTGCTGTGTCGAGAATACCGACTAATTTGTCAATCGAAATTTTTTCATTTTCAATAATTTCTGTGTCACTTTCTTCACTATTGGAAGCAAATTATAATGACGAGGAATTTGATTTAAATCATATCAAAGACGGAGTACATCGAGATGAAATACTACATTTAGTAAGGAATTATAAGCCAAATAAAATGAAAACATCTGCCCTGAAAAATAAGGATAAAGCTGATAGATCATCTTCCAATTTATTGCGCGCCGCAGCGTTGAAAGCATCTGCCCTGAAGATACGTATAGTGCTGACAGGTCAACTTCCAATTCATTGCGCGCCATTCCCCCCTCATCACCCGCCGCAGAACAGTGCGAAATTGATAAACAGATTTTGGAATGGTGAGGTCATTTTTTGCAGGATTTCCACTTTTCTTTAATGGACTTCGAAACATACTTTCGCTTTGGTAGATCCTTTACATATTAGTAAATATATATTGGAAATTCTATTTGACATAATCTAAAGTTCAAGCTTACTTTTATAAAATTGCTCTAACAGTCTGCAAAAAATAATAAGCCAGATCCAATTCGAAGATTAAGGAACAACGCAATCTGCAACATTAACTGAATTAGATAATTTTAGCTTAGCTTATACCGTCCGTTATACATTAAACGCGCATGCGTAAACGTATTTTGCGCATGCACTCGCGCATATTCGCAGCCGTAAAGGTCTCACACGCATGCGTCAATGGACGCATGCGCAGAAAGTTTGTAGCTTTGAGGCCCGGATTATAGATCATTCCGGAATATGGGTGTCCGAATTAACGACTTTTGACTGTATAAGCTACGCTAAAATTATCTGTTTCAGTTAATGTTGCAGATTGCGTTGTTCCTTAATCTTCTAATTGGATCCGGCTTATTATTTTTTGCAGACTGTTACAGTAATTTTATAAAAAGTAGGCTTAAACTTTCGATTATGTCAAAAAGAGTTTCCGATTCTGGAGCTGCCAAAGGATCTACAAAGTGAAAGCATGTTTCGATGTCCATCAAACAAAAAGTGGAAGTGCTGCAAAAAATGTATAAAGGCATGAAGAAAGTGACAGAGAGGTTAGTTAAAACGAAAAAATTTCGATTGACAAGTTAGTCGATATTCTCGGCACAGCAATTACAGGACTTGAACAGCAGAACTTTGTAACTGAACAAGAAATTATGTCTGTTTATAGAATTAAAGAGAAAGTATTATCACATAAAGCGAAGCAACTTAAACAACTTGCATTGAAAGAAATGTTTAATAAAGTAAACAAATAAATATTAAGCTTTTTTTTTTTTTTTGTAAATTTTGATACCCTTTAGATCATAATTGTTCTTTATTTCATAAATTACGGTTTCATATTTTTAATTTTATAATTTCTGCATGCCATCTTACCAGATTTAAATTGATGATCTATAATCCGAAAAAATCCCTAATCCGGAATCGCCGAAGTCCCAACGAGTGCGGATTAAAGACTGTACTGTGAATTTTTTTTTCAAAAAGGCAATCTTAAATTTTTTAAAGATTTTTCCATTTTACATAACACTAGCAGGCCTTAGTATTGGCTCATAGCAAACTTGTAATATCATATCCATAAACTGAAACAAAAATGTTATTTCTTGTTTAATGTATTTTTGTATGAGTATTAAATTCTAAAGTCATAAAATTTAATGAAAATGTTAACACTTTTTTACCATTTCAAAACACAAATTACATAGGGTGAAATTCTTTTGGCATATCAAGTGTAACAAAATTATAACACATTATAAATCACATACACATTAGTAAATCATGAAAGATTGTCAGTGAAGGGCATTTAAAGAAAAAAAATAGATCTTGAATTATTTAAATTTGTTTATTAACATTGATTTGAAAATGACATCAAATATCTAAAATTTTAAACTCAGTTAACTTTTGTTATACGGGAGTCAGAGTTTTTTTTTTTTTTTTTTTTTAATCTTTTGTAATGAGTACAGAATTTCCCTAAATATAAGTATAGGGATCAGAGGACCATATAAAAAAGGTTAGATTTTATAATTTTTATAAAAATGATTTTTTTTTTAATTTAAAAATGCAGACATCAATATCTGCATAATTTAAAACATTTTTATGATTGGCAGTACAGTACAACTCCAATTATCCGAACTCCGACTATCCAAATCGCTTTCAGAATTTTTCAGGATCAACCGAAGAAGAAAAGGAAAAGGGAAGAGATAGGAGAGGTTGAGAAAGATGTGTCACTTGAGGAACTAAGAAACATTCTTTTGAAACTTCCTGAATGTGTAGAAGTTAGTGTTGAGGATACAGCAGAATGTATGATGTGAGTTTCAAATTCCAAATGATGAGGAAATTATTGAAAGTGTGAGAGAAGAAAGTGTTGAAGAAGATGACCTTAATGTCGAAGCTGAAACAGACAACAACTAGTGAAGCCCTTGCCGGTCTTGAAACTGCATTGAAGTAGATGGAGTGTTAGCTCTCAAAAATGGATGAAGTCAGTCAAACAGCTTATTTTGACTGAGATGTTCAGCAAGGAATAACATTCAGCACTTGCAAGTACTGTACAGTACGCTATATAACATCTATGTAAAAGTGTCGCCTTTTCATTTTAATTAATTAAAACTTCTTTTTCTTTAAAAATAGTTTTTTTCTCCCATTTTCAATATATAGTACATACAGTAATTAATTAAAGTGTACATAGATCCTTTCTTAGAAAAAAACCGAATTTACCGGAATGTGGTCCGGTCCCAATTGATTCGGATAATTGGAGTTGTACTGTACATGTCTGTGACTGAACAAGTAGGAAAATAAATGCTAAATAAGGAGTTTTATGGACATGATATATACCGGTAGTTAGTGCTCTTTCAGAAGGAAAGGAAAACCAGATTTCTTTTCACTTAATGTTACTTTTAATTTGTATTGTTAATAATGTTTTTTTTTTTTTTTTTAAATTTATTTGATAGGTAATTACCTCTGAAGATGCGGAAGCTCGTGCAGAAACTTATGATCACATAAACAGAACTTACCTGTTTGATCTTGATTATGATAATGATTCCTGTACTTACACTGTTGATGCACGGCATGTTGGAAATGCATCGCATTTCATTAATCATTCGGTTAGTATCATTTCACTCACATTGCTGCGATTTAATGCAGCATTTCCCAAAAATTTTCATTCAGATGCTAAACATTTATTTGAAATACTGGCCATACACATTTCACTTTTGCTTATATTCATGTTTGAAAGAAACTTAAACAAATCTTTGAAGCCATGTTTAAATATCTATCCATTTTTTTAATGATAAGAGGTAAACACAACATATGCTGTATCACTTTAAGTTTACTGTTTAGACCTTTTTGGAGAGCATAAGCAACTGCATGATGTTTTTGAAAATGCTTTTCGTATTATGATGTAAATGTTAAAAATATATTACAAGATTTGTAATTGAAAGCAAATATTAAAACTGCATGTTTTGTTACAGGGCTGACTCTGAGCTTAAGCAACAATAGGAAAAAAATGTTCAGAGGGTGTCAGTTACATTTTCTTATAAACTGAAACTAAATGAAAGTATATTCCACTTTGGATTGTTAATACAGTCAACTTGAGATTTGCCAAAATAATACTGGCAAAGCATCTTTTAATTTAAAATCGTAGCTAATCCAGTGGTAGTTAAAAATTTTTAGGAAAAAAGAATAACTAAAGCAAAGAAGTATTAGTAATAATTTGTGTGTATTTTTAAGCTGTTAAATCTGGGTATTCTTTAAATTATGTAAATTGAATCATTATTGAAAATAAAATAAATGCATGGTAAATAAAGGAAGAGTAAACATTATTAGAAATGAAAGAACTAATTAAGTTGCAAATGGCATTAAAGGACATTATTTACAGTACAACTTTAACAAAGTGATTGAGCTAAAATTTTTGTGTAAAATATCAGTTTGACCTTTTGTTCTTTATTGTACATTGTATATCATAGAATATGTATTATTAAATGGCATACAGTTGTATAAAAACAACTCCAAGATACTCTGACACCATGTGTTATATTGCTGTTATTCCACTCATTTTCTTTTCCTTTTTGTGTTTCCCATACACAGTTTTATTTATACTTATGGTTTGATTGTCATAGTAATTTTCCATTATTTCGGGGGGGGGGGAACTGCACAGGATTAGGGTGTGCCTAATGCTCCAGCTGCCCTGTTTCGTAGTTTTCACTTATCAATGAATTATTTTGCATGAAATTAATCAAAAAAAACTTTCATAGTATTTAGTAAAACAACATTTTTCTTTTAAAGTTTAAAAAATAGCATATTATTGTAACTGTTTTAGTCTGTACCTTTAACATCGTACCAAAATAATGCTTCATGGGTTGCAATTTGGGAAATGCTATTGTGAAGTATAGTGTAAAAAAATAAATATAAGTATGCATTTTTCTTTATTGGAAAAAATGGGTAGTATCAAAAGTAAATCCTAAACTTTTAAATGAATAAGTATATTTTTAGAAGTTCTAGATTCATATATTTCATAGGAAAAAATATATATGAATATTCGGGTAGAGTAGTGATTAGGATTTTTAGAACTTGTCTGAGACAAGATTGTTTCTGTGACTCAACAAAGTATTTTAAGAATAATATTATTATTACAAATAATTTACATAGCAAATCTTATTCTGTTAACATTTCATTCAGATAACAAATAATAAAGCATTTGGGTACTAAAAACCATTCTGTCATAAAAGGTGCTATTCTGAGGATGAAAACCCTTCATGGGCGTGCCCATGGAAAGGTCGAGGGTTTAGCTCGCTCTGACTCCAAAACAGACTGATGGATTTGTTCATCTCCTGAGTTCTTCAGTGGAGAGGTGCATTCATTTTCTCTTGTGTCTTGTCATTTTCGAACAGCATGCAGCCTGCCATTCCTTTGCAACGCTACACCTGTAGGCAGAGATATTCCGGGCCCGTGATTGAGATATGGCCACTGCTGATGGCTAGAGCTTGTCCTTGACTGGTTTAACGCAAAGTTCTTTGGTGATAGTGGCATATTACCTCCGTACGCTGTGTGTATTAGTTCACTATGTCTCAAGCCACCCTTTTAAAACATATTCTTTAAGAAATCTCCCCTTTTTTAAAGGAATGACTGAAGTCTACACAATTTAGCTATGTTTTCATTTCGTGATTATCTCAGTTATTTGAATGTTGATGTTTAGCTGATTTTTTTCTAGTTACCCTTACACTATGTACTATTGAAATAATAATTATATTGCTGCATTTGTACTAGTAAGCACAGTTCAGTTGATACAGATTTAGAAGAAATGTAATTGCTCAGAAAGGAGGTCAAATCTTTGTCCCTTTAAATTTTATACTTGGGTTATTATTTAAATGCATTATTTTATAGTGCTTAAGAACTAATTCCTTTATAAAGGATGCCTCCATGTATGATTTGCTGAAGAAAACTTCCTGATATTCACAATACACATGTGGACTCCAGCCTACAGGAAAACTTGTTAGTAATCAATGAGTGAACATTTTTACAACTTTAAAAATATGCATAAGGCATATTTTTAAAATTAACCACTCTACATTTAACTTAAAATCCAATTTTTTTAAAGTGTTAATTACTTATAAATTATGTGCATATTTAATTAGAAACTTTTTATTACTCGAGCACAAACATTTTTAAATACACTAATAGGTTTTTGAAGCGAATATTTTAAATTCCAAATAATCATATAAAGGGGAAATCGGAAAGAAAGGAAATTCTTTGAGGTTTTGAGATTCTAATTTTTATGGGGAAATAAAAAATTAATCCTAGGTAAAGAAGAAGGGAAGGAAACACTTCATATAATCATATTAAAAATTGTATGTTTAGTTGCATATTTCTCCTTTTTTTATTAATTTTATTGTATGAAAATCAAGAAGGAAATTGTATTAATATTCAATTTCTGAGGAATGTGGTTACAGTATCAATTTAAATGAAAAGTGTTCATTGATAAACTAATATTAACAATCAAACTGTTATTTAAGAGAAACCTGCTTTCCAATACATATCCACAGTAGTATTAACTTTACAATATCTAATAAGATAGCTTCTTTTTACTTCCCTGAATCTCTCCCATTCTTGTTACCCACTGCTGTTTCCTAACCCCCAAAGTGTTGCTGGAACTCCTGTCTGCGTTATCTACTATAGCCTGCAAATCGTTGCCGTCGTCTTCGTCTCCATGAAGATTACCACATGTAATCTTCAAAACCATCAAAAGCATTAGATACCTCAATTTTTTTGAAGCTCTTCACTAATATTGCCTCATTGGTCAGAGCTCAGGCACCCAAACTCTACAAGGAAATCGATTAGTAAGACGAAAACAATCACTACTTGGATGAATCCATTTTAAAATTTAGAGAAGCTAGTTTTCTGAACGGTTTTTGGAAGTTGAAAATTGCTACTAACATGAATACATAAAAAAATGTTCAGAATAGTGTGCTAAAAAGATAGGGGGAAATATGTGGGTAAATATGGTATATATTATTTATTTATAATTTATGAATGCTGAGATTTATAAGTACAGTGTTTAATGTAAGGATATTACAAAATGAAATTAGCCGAAGAATGTAAAATTAAAAATATCTAATTTAGTATTATTATGCTTTACATCAGAACCATATTATAAATAGTTCATTAACTTAAATCATGCATTATGAAATGAATTTAACTTAGTTTGGAAATCTTTTGAAATGGCATTGTTGCACAGTAAGTAAACTTTCCCCAAACACCTAGTTTTGGGAACTAAACCTCCTGGTTTTCATATTTCAAGGTTGGCAGCTATGGATTTTGCCCATATGTGAGTTTTGACTATGCATAAAAAGTTTTCAATAGTATGCATCTTTCTAATTACATTATTTGTTAATTTCTTAGCAGATTTCTCCATCATGAAAATGTTTTCTAGCAAATTATGATTTTTTTTACAATGCAATATTTTCTGAAGTAATCAATTAAAAATTACATAAATGATAAAATTGCATTGACGATTTTGCCAAACATGGAATGCTGTTATAATAATGTACCTACAGGGTTTTTTTTTTTTTTTTTTTTAAATTTACTCTATGTATGTTGGTAATATAGGTAACTGAAGTTAATTTCCTTTCTCCCTTTTTGTCCACCTCAAAATTTTGCTGTGTGCAGTTCCTGTTAAATTTGTGAGGTAACCTTTTATGTTTTGCAATATATCTGAACAATAATGGCATGGTGAATCTCCAAAATCTATGATAAATCAATTAGTAGCATCTAAATTCTGTATATAATGGTTCAGTTGTATTTCTAAATTTTAGCTTCAAAAAGTAACCAGTCTAATTTAACATGTTCTCTGCCAACTGTAAGAATACTTGTATTTGGCAAATTGAGGTTTTGCCAGCTACGAGATAAACCTGCTACTAAATGCCTTACCAGAATCACTGAGTATGAATATTGTGGTATCAAATGCATCCAGTGTTTATATATTTGACATACAGGAAGAGGCTGTACAATAGATTTGTCTTACTGAAATGGATAATTTATTTCTCAGAACATAGATATTATAACTAAATATTTCTTTTGCAAAACCACTTTTTGTTTTATCTATTTCTTGGTGTATTTATTTGAGAAGTGCTATAAACGGGCTGCTCAAATACTTGTTCATTGACTCGTGTAAGACTAATAGAAAGAAACATATTGCACGTGCAGGAGTTTTGCACAAATGCACAGGACTTATATAATTCCGAGTTATCTCGTAGTTGGCAAGGAGAACAAAAATATTATTTCATATGCCAGTGATTCTCAACCTGTGGTGTACGTATCATTGGTGGTATGCAGGAGAAAAATAGACGGTATGCAAAGAAGCAAAGTTTTTTTAGCTATTAAATTCAAAAATTAAGTACCCCAACATCCTGTTTAAGCTTTTTCTTGTTTTATTGTTCATTTAAATATTTGTGAAAAAATATTAAAGCAAACTTAGATTTTCTAAATGGAAAATTGCCTATGATTGACTAAACGGAAAAGTGATGATTCAATGATTCACAGGTGATGGATCCATGACAGACTACTAGCACTAAGAATATTGAAAAGAAAATAATTGTTTATAGACAGT